AAAACAACCACAAGAAAAAAATAAAAAAACAGAAACACGTGAAATCTAAACAATATGCTACTAAACGACCAATGGGTCACTGAAGAAATTTTAAAAAATACCTAGAGAAAAATGAAAATGAAATCACAATAATTGAAAACGTATTGAACAAAAGCCGTTCTAAGAAGGAAATCTATAGCAGTACAAACTTGCTGTAGGAAATAGGAAAAATATCGACATAGCTTTACACCTAAAGCAACTAGAGAAAGAAAAACAGTTGAAATCCAAAGTTAATAGAAAGTAAGAAATCATGAAGATCAGAGAAGAAATAAATGAAATAGACACTAAAAACAAAAAAATAGTAGAAAAGATCAATGAAACTAAAAGCTGATTCTTAAAAAGATAAAATTGATAAACTTTTAGCTAGATTCACTATGGAAAAAAAATGGAGAAGGACCCAAATCAGAAATGAAAAAGCAGAAGTTAAAGCCTATACCATAGAAATACAAAAGATCATAAGAGGCTGCTACGAGCAAGTATTATAGAAGTAAATGGCAACCCACTCGAGTATTCTGGCCTGCAGAATCCCGTGGACGGGGAGCCTGGTGTGCGTCCATGGGGTCGTAAGAGTTGGACACGAATTAGTGACTAAACCACCACCACCACAAGCAAGTATGTAACCATAAAATGGAGAACCTGGAAGAAATGGACAAATTCTTAAGAAGGTGCAATCTCCCAAGACTAAGCAAGGAAGAAACAGAAAATATGAACAGACCAATTACCAGTATTGAAGTTGAAGAAGTAATTTTAAAACTGAACAGACAAAAGTCCAGAACCAGATAACTTCACAGAAAAATTCTATCAAACATTTAAAGAAGAGTTAACACCTATCCTTCTGAAGGAGTTTTAGAAAATTGCAGAGGAAGGAGCACTTCTGAACTCATTCTGTGAAGCTGCCATCACCCTGGGTTTCCCAGGTGGTGCTAGTGGTAAAGAACCAACCTGCCAGTGCAGGAGACATGAGACACACGTTCAGTCCCTGAGTTGGAAAGATCCCCTGGAGAAGGACATGGCAACCCACTCCAGGACTCTTGACTGGAGAATTCCATAGACAGAGGAGCCTGGCAGGCTACAAGTCCATAGGGTCACACAGAGTCTGATATGAGTGAAACAACTTAGCACACATGCACCATCACCCTGATACCAAAGTCAAAGATAATTACAAAAGAAGAAAATTACAGGCCAATATCACTGATAATCATAGGTGTAAAACTCCCACATAAAATTAAAAAAAAAAAAAATCTAGCCAGCTGAATCCAAAAACACATTAAAAGGATCATACACCACAATCAAGTGGGATTTATCCCAATGATTTTTCAGTATCTGCAAATCAGTTAGTATCATACAGCACATTAACAAGTTGAAGAATAAAAACAATATGGTCATCTCAATACATGCAGAAAAAGCTTTTGATAAAATTCAACATCCATTTATGGTAAAAACTCTCCAGAAAGCAGCCATTGAGGGAACCTGCCTCAACATAATAAAGGCCATATATGACAAACCCACAGCTAGCATCATAATCAGCAGCAAAAAGCTGAAAGCATTTCCTCTAAGATCAGGCAGAAGACAAGTACCCAGTCTTGCCACTTCTATTCAACATAGTTTTGAAACTTCTGGCCACAGCAATCAGAAGAAAAAGAATCCAGATTGCAAAAGAAGTAATAAAATTGTCACTGTTTGCAGATGAAATGAGACTGTACATAGAAAGTCCTGAAGATGCTATCAGAAAACTACTAGATCTCGTCAGTGAATTTAGTAAAATTGCAAGATACAAAATTAATACACAGAAGTCTGTTGTACTTCTTCACACTAATAACAAAAATCAAATGATAAAATTATGGAAATAATCCCATTTATCATCACATCAAAAATAATAAAATACTTAGGAACAAACCTACTTAAGGAGGCAAAATACCTATATTCAGAAAATTGAGATGCTGATGAAGAAAAGTGAAGAAGACACAAACAGATGAAAAGATACACCATGTTCTTGGATTGGAGGTATCAACATTATTAAAATGATCATACTGTCCAAGGCAATCTATAGACTCAATGTATTCCTAAGAAATTTACAATGACATTTTTCACAGAACTAGAAAAGAAATTTTAAATTTTGTATGGAAACACAAAATCCAGTATAGGCAAATTCAATCTTAAGAAAAAAGTACAGAGCTGAAGGAATCAGGTTACCTGACTTTATACTACAAAGTTACAGTAACCCAAACAATTTGGCACTGGCACAAAGACAGACGTATAGATCAACGGAGTAGGATAGAAAGCCCCAAAATAAAGCCACACACCTATGGTCAGCTAACCTACATAAAAGATACAATAATATACAATGGAGAAAGATAGTCTTTTCAATAAGTAGTTCTGGTAGAACTGGACAATTGCATATATAAGATTAGAGCATTCTCTAACACCTTTTACAGAAATGAATTGGATTAAAGATCTAAAAATAATATGGGATGCTATAAACTTCTAGAGGAAAAGAGGCAAAACACTCTGACATAAATCACAGTAATATCTTTTTTGATCCATCTCATAGAGTAATAGAGATACAAAAATAAACAAATGGAACCTAATGAAACTTAAAAGCTTTTCACAACAAAGGAAACCATAAACAAAGTGAAAAAACAACCTGAAGAATAGAAGAAAATATTAGCAAATGATGCTACCAACAGAGAATAATTTCCAAAATATATAAACAGCTCATACAGCTCAACTTCAAAAAAACAAACAGCCCAATCAAATAACAGGCAAAAGATCTAAGTAGGCATTTCTCCAAAGAAGACATACAGATAGCTAAAAGGCATAGGGAAAAAAAAATCCTCAATGTCGTTAATTAGTAGGGAAATGCAAATCAAAACTACAGTAAGGAAATCACCTCATACCAGTCAGAATGACCATCATTAAAATGTCTGTCAGTAATAAATGCTGAATTTGGTATGGAGATAAGGGAACCCTCCTACACTGTTGGTGGGAATGTAAATTGGTGCAGCTACTATAGGAAACAGTATGGAAATTCCTTAAACTAAAAATCTGAGTTACCATATAGCCCGGCAGTCTGACTGCTGGATGTATAACCATAGAAAATGATAATTCGAAGAGGTAGATGCTTGCCATTGTTCTTCACAACCCTACTTAGAGTAGCCAAGATATGGAAACAACCTAAATGTACATAGAAAAAGATATAAAGGATCCATGGTACATTTATACAGTGGAAAATTCTGTGTGTGTGTGTGTGCGTGCACTCAGTTACTCAGTCATGTCCAACTCTTTGCAACCTCATGGACTATAACCCACCAGGCTCCTCTGTCCATGGCGTTTTCCAGGCAAGAATACTGGAGTGGGTTGCCATTTCCTACTCCAGGGGATCTTCCCAATCCTGGGATCGAATCTGTGTCTCCTGCATTGACAAGAGAATTCTTTACCACTGCACCACCTGGGAAGCCCACAGTGGAATATTACTCAGCTATAAAAAAAGAAAATGCCATTTGCAGCAACATGGGTGAACCTAGAGATTACCATACTATGTCAAACAAAGAAATATCATATGTCACTTATATGTGGCATCTAAAAATATTATATAAATGAACTTATTTACAAAAACAGAAGTAGACTCACAAACATAGAACTGAAACTTGTGGTTACCAAAGGGGAAAAGAGTAGGAGAGGGATAAATTAATAGTTTGGAACTAGCAGATGCAGACTACTAAATATCAAAACAGATAACCAACAAGGACCTACTGTATGGCAAAAGGAAGTATACTGAATATCTTGCAGTAAATTGCCACAGAAAGTTTTGTTGTTCGCTTTATTGTGTGTTTGCTTGGGTTTTCTTTTATAAATTCTGAGACAGTTTAACTGGTAAGAATAACTTTTTTTTCCAAGTTAAAGTTGAACCCAGGACTGGTGAATTGGAAAAAAAATTAAAACAAGTGTTTCCTTTTGGGCAACTGACTGATAATTTCTAACAATTTTAATAAGAGAAATGAATATAGATGTTTTTCTGTACTTTGCTATTCCTAGCAGCTGTGTACTAACGTCAACCAGATTATTCATTTCTTATTGCCAAAATGTCTTATTTTAATCTGTGTTTATAATTAACACATAATTTTTATTTATCTCTGAATGGAGGTTGTGGAATGAGTCAGAAGCTTTAAAGAATCCAATAATATTTTCCAAAAATGTAACAACATTTTAGATCATATCAATATCTGTACTATTCCTCAGTTTATGAATTCACAAATGTAATTAGAATATTTTTAGAATATAAAGATTAGTTAATAGAGCTAATTTAGAGACTCTGGGTTTATTATTGTTTTTGGTAAATACTGCTCTATCCTTAGCTACTCAGAGAGAACACTGCTTGTTAAATATATGCTAATTTCCTTAATAAAACTTGTTATTTGGGGTTATGTGTTAGAATTCAGGGTTCTTTTTTAGAATTAAGACTAACAAAAGTACTAGATAAATTTTATTTCTTTAATCTGAGCTCAAAAAATTCTGTGGTAGAATATAGAATAGTAATAATGTTGGTTGGCAAAAAAGTTGGTTCAGTTCATTTTTTTTTCCATAAGATGGTTCTCAGCACTTGTGTGCATTTGTGCTCAGTCACTTCAGTTGTGTCCGACTCTGCAATCCTATGGACTGCAGCCCACCAGCCTCCTCTATCCATGGGATTCTCACGAGGTAGTTGATTAACTTGAGGAAGTCTATGTTTCTGTGTCATTGGATTAGTTAAATTTATTGGAATAAATATATATATACATATATATAAAGTAAGAGGAACTCAGTGTATAACAGCTATATTATTCACATTAGAAAATGTAGAAACTAAAAACAAAGAAAAAATAAACAAAACGAGAGAACAGACATTCTAGGATTGTGAATAAGTAAACCAGACCATCTTTAAATAACTTATTAATAAGATCTTTGCTTCCCCCACCCCCCAGATCAAAGATTCTATACTGCCTGCATATAAGGATTTCTGTAAAAATCTACCGTTTCCAACATATTTCCCTGATGAGGACGAAAAGGAGCTACCGGAAGATTTGTATGATGAAGAAGTGTGTCAGCCTGGAGCACCTTCTATTACGTTTGGTTGACCTCATTGGCCATGAGAGAACCCCACATTTGCTGTGAATTCTGATGAGCCAGAACAGTAATATAACCAGGAATTATGGGGGTTTTTTCCTTAGTTACAACATACCACACTGGTTATCTTTTAAGCTGTGTATTTCTCAAATTATCTTAAATGTTTATAAATTTAACTTCTACTAAAGATTTGTCTGTCTTTGTGAAAGGGTGGTTGTCAAATGGTGTCAGGTCATACGGAGACTAGATAACTTACCTAGATTAAAGAAAAAAGAAAACCATTTCTTGAGCCTCAAAAGCAGAGGAATTCAGATCTTTATCTAAACTATAGAAATGTTTATGTCATAGTTAAAGGCCTGACACATAGTAAAATCACAAATTATGGGTCATATATATTACACTTGTGTTGGGAGGTATAGTTATTTTTTAGCTTGATCACTCAACTATAACTTTTTTTTGGCTGTGTCTCACAGCATACAGTGGTTAAGGCTCTGCACTGAATCACCAGGGAAGTCTTGTAATCATTTTTCCTTGATGCCTTCCAAAAGGAATTTGAAACAACCTGGGTGTGCATTCAACAAACTTATTAACCACCTGTTACTCAAAATGTTAATAGCTCCTAGGTTTCTCTTCATTGTATGAAATGAAAATATTTACTAATGGCTACTTATGACAGATAATTAAGCTTAACAATGTTAGTATCATGCTCATGTTCAGTTGTTCAGTCATGTTCGACTCTTTGCAACTTCATGGACGTAGCCTGCCAGGCTCCTCTGTCTATGGAATTTTCCAGGCAAGGATACTGGAGTGAGTTACCATTTCCTGTTCCAGGGGATATTCCCAACCCAGAGATCAAACCCGAGTCTCTTTCATCTCTTGAATTGGCAAGCAGATTCTTTACCTCTGAGCCATGCTCTAGGTCAGTGTAACTAGAAGCAGGCCTTACTTAACTACTGGATTTCCTCTGGACTAGATTCCTAAGGATACACAGAATTTTAACTTTTTAAACTTCAGGTGTCTTCTAAGACTTGATGCACATAGTCACCCAAGAGACTTACTAGCCACAGTGTTACACCTTTTAATAACAAATTCATTAGTTATCAGGAAATCACACAAAGACCTACCAGTATTTTCAGGTCCACATTGCATTTCTTATTCTTAATTTTAAATCCAGCTGAAGTCACATCTCTCTTAAAGTTTTCATTTATACTTCATCTCTTTTTATTAAAGATTTGTGGTAGTTGACAGATCCATGCATTAAAATAGTAAAGTAAGGGGAAAACATGTAGGATGATATAAATTAGTATAGGTGGGGGGTTGAGAAGGAATGGTGCCAATATAATACAGTTGAGCAGGCTGAAAACAAATAACATTGATTCATTTCATGTTTCTCTTTAATTACGAGGTCCTCAAGAGGAGTCATTTTAAACTGCAGTAAATCTTGTTTAGCACATTATTTTTTATTAAAAATAATTTATCAAACTAGAAATTTCTGAACTTGTTTAACATATTCCAGGGTAAAATATTAGACCCATTCTTGTCAGAGATCAAATAAGGCTATCCTTTACTACTTCTAGACAACAATGGTTTTGGAGATCTTAGCCAATGCAGTAAAACAAGAAAGAGTTAGTAATACAGATACAGGGAAATGAGAATAAATCTCGTTTGTAAGAAATATGATCTACCTAGAAGATTTAAGACAGTCAACTGATAAGCTGTCAGAACCAATGAAGACAGTTCTGGTGACTAAATACAGCATCAACATACAAACATGAATACAGGAGCCTAGTGGGCTACAGTCCATGGGTCACAAAGTATAAATAACTGAGTGACTAACACACTGTATACAAACATATAATAGCAATATTAGGAAATTCTGTGGTATGGAAGTGAATACCATCCACAGCAGCAATTTTTTAAAAAGTTACTGAGGAAAGAAGCCTAATGTATTCTAAGGTCTTACTGGAGAACTAAAAGTGTAATTGAAGAACATTGAAGAAAACTGATGGTCCTCTCTATTATATAAGTTATGAATGGGAAGATGTAATATTGTAAAGAATTTAGCTTAATCCTATTTTTTAAATTTCAATATGACTTAAAATAGAACTATTCAAACTGATTGTAAAATTGGAATGAATGCATAAATTCAAGAATAACCAAAACTTAAAATGGTACCCATTCATTACGTCTGCCCCATTGTTTGTTTAGGGATTATTTATAATTTTGAAACTTAGAATATTGTGTACATCAGTTCACTCCTTTAACTGCATTTGATGAAAAGATTTTAGTAAACTTATAGATGTATCAAGGTTGCTGATGAAATGATGGAAAGTAGTTGTTAACCTACAAGACAAATGAACAGTTATTGCTGGAGAACATAAAATCTTGTTTCTGAATAAGGTATTTGCTGAGGTTTGTATCAGGAGTCCCCAACCTCTTCTGAATGAAAAACTTTTATTTCCCAGAAGCCATTGATGGGGGAAATCATTACTCAGGAAGGATACTTTACACAGTGCAGGAAACGAATCATATCATCTGAAAGCAGCCAGATGACAGAAGAAGGGCAGAATATGTGGCCTTTTGAAGAAGTCAGGAAATCCTCTATACCAGACAACCTGCCCCAGACCCATCATCGTCTTTCACCAGAGTCTGTGTTATCCAGTCCAACCTTGTACTGCTCACCCCACAACAGGCCAGCAAATCAGGAGATGAGTTGTTGGGGCAAGGAAAGCCAGCAGACCAAGAAGATGCTGGGCTCATGTCCCAAAAAAGCAATGTTGCCTGAATTAGAATTCAAGTTTCTTTTATAGTAAAAGGGTAGGGAGTAAAGTCAAAAACCCCCAGGTTCTGGTCAGACTCTTGAGAGGATGTTTTAATTTCTTCCTTCCTTCAGTCATTCACAGGTGGGCCTGGTTACGGTGTTTCCTCTGAGCTACACAGGTATTTTAGCTTACTGCGAGGCAGGGTTCCCAGAGATGGGCCATTATGTATAATTTAACCTTATAGGCAGCATTAGTTAGTGATTAACTTGTAACAGAATACAGTTTCTTACCCATTAAAATTCCCTATAATTAGCATCCATTCCCATGAGAAAAGGGATAAAGACAGTTGTGTCTACTTCCTACTGAACAGGGGCAATGAATATTCTTTAGAATCTTTAGTAGTAAAATCATCTTTCCTTTATTATCTACAACTATTTAGACCTGATGGAAACTCTTAGCTCTTTGTTTCTAATTTGTAATTGAACATAGGGTTGGACATAGGGATGGACTTGGGTTCCAGTTCTCAATACATATATACTAAATGCCTATGCTATAAAATAAAATAAAATAAAATAAAATAAATAAAATACATTGACTCCTCTCCAGCCATAATGAAGTTACCATTTACTTCAGTTGTGTAAGCAGACCTGTTGGAGGCAAATTCATGAGGAATGTTTAGTATAATGTGCAAAGTTTTAATATAATTGTCAGCTTCTAGGTCTTTCATTTATAGATTTATCCCATCCAGGTAGATGCTTCGAAAAAACAACCATACAATATTTCAAAGGGACTTAATTTAATCCTGTTTCTGAGAGCAACTGATCCGCAGCAAGCCTTGTTGTCATTCTTCAGTCGCTAAGTCATGTCTGACTCTTTGCGACCCCATGGACTGCAGCGTGCCAGGTACATCTGTCCTCCACTGTCTCCCAGAGTCTGCTCAAATTCATAGCCATTGAGTCAGTGATGCTATCTAAACATCTTTTCCTCTGTCGTCCCTGTCTTCTCCTGCCCTTAATCTTTCGCAGCATCAAGGTCTTTTCTAATGAGTTAACTCTTCACATCAGGTGGCCAAAGTTTTGGAACTTCACCTTTAGCAACAGTCCTTCCAATGAATATTCAGGGTTGATATCCTTTAGGATTGACTGGTTTGATCTCTTTGTAGTACAAGGAACTCTCAAGAGTTTTCTCTAGCACCACAATTCAAAAGCATCAATTCTTCAGCACTCAGCCTTCTTTATGGACCAATTCTCACATCTGTACATGATTACTGGGAAAACCATAGCATTAACTATATGGAACTTTGTCAGCAAAGTGATGTCTCTGTTTTTTAATATTTAATCTAGGTTTCTATAGCGATCTTTCTGAGGAACAAGTGTCTGAATATCATGGCTGCAATCAATGTCTGCAGTGATTTGGGAGCCCAAAAAAGTAAAATCTATCACTACTTCTACTTTTTTCCCTTCTATTTGCCAGGAAGTGATAGGAACAGATGCTGTGATCTTAGTTTTATTGTTTGTTTAATTTATTTTAATAGGAGGCTAATTGCTTTACAATATTGTGATTTTTTTTTGCCATTCATCAACATGAATCAGCCATGGGTGTACATGTGTTCCCCCCATTCCTGAGCCCCCCTCCTACCTCCCTTTCCACCCCATCGCTCTGGGTTGTCCCAGAGCACCAGCTTTGAGTGCCCTATTCATGCAACAGTTTGCACTGGTCCTCTATTTTATATATGGTAATATACATGTCTCAGTGCTATTCTCAAATCATCCCACCCTCATCTTCTCCCACAGAGTCTAAAAGTCTGTTGTTTACATCTGTGTCTCTTGCTGTCTTGCATATAGGGTCATCACCATCTTTCTAAATTCCATATATATGTATTAATATGCTGTATTGGTGTTTCTGTTTCTGATATACTTCACTCTGTGTAATAGGCTCCAGTTTTATCCACCTCATTAGAACTGACTCAAATGTGTTCTTTTTTTATAACTGAGTAATATTCCATTGTGTTTATGTGCTACTACTTCCTTATCCATTCGTGTGCTGATGTGCATCTAGGTTGCTTCCACATCCTAGCTATTGTAAACAGTGCTGCAATGAACATTGGGGTACATGTATCTATTTCAATTCTGGTTTCCTCGGTGTGTATGCCCAGCAGTGGGGTTGCTGGGTCTTATGGCAGTTTTATTTCCAGTTTTTTAAGAAATCTCCACACTGTTCTCCATAGTGGCTGTACTAGTTTTCATTCC